TTTCGTCGACCTACCATTTCAAAAAACCAGCGAAGCGTTACTTTAGAGCAGTGATAAACATTGAAAATGAATCGTAATGACCATGGAATAAAGTAAGAGTTATGAAACTACCGTTAGCTGTGAGCTCAAAAATGCTGGGGATTAATTCCGTTTAATCAGTCTTGGCAAATATGTACAAATAAAATCTAAGAGAATACTTGTCTGTTGACTATAAATCTTATGGTCTTTACCTGAGGGTAAATCATACTTATGACGGTAGTACTTCCAACGAGTATTTCGAATTGCTACATGGCTTACTTAGGGAATCTAACACGTTTTTTTGAATACCTCATATGGTCATCAAAACTATGGGCAAACATGTTGCTTCATATAATGCACATATAAAGCCTAAGGAGGAAAATAGAGTTCACCTGAGCGCTGTACCGTTCTAAAGCTTCTAACCATTCCGTCACCCATAAAATCTTCAGGACTCAGGACAGAAAATCCGTGTCAGACATGTTTAAAGCATTAGCTGCTTTACTGTAAACGGTAAATAGCTCCGCCACTCTTTGCCATCAATTTTGCATTCGTTTCCTATGATGTTCGGTCAGCACTAATTTTTAAGTGCGAAAGATTCATAGTTTTCGTCTAGCCTTAAATTTTATCGTGTATATATCACAGTACATACCGATATAGATGGAAACTAATTTGCTTTCATGCCCATACTGATGATATCTTGTCCTTAGCGCATTACTGCCAACGCGTTATTCTATATCAGAGCCACGCCATCAACCTAAACATACATTATACAGAGTCGCGGCTTAGGTACAGAGGTAGAATAATTAATAATCCTGTTAACTGCGGTGTTACTGGTTATATATAAACACGTTGCAAATGCATGCAGGTATCTTTTCGTGGCATGTAATTCCTACCTTTTACCGTCCATTAGCCTTAGACTAATGCCGATATAACCTTTTTTTAAAGAGAAACAAGCAAATAACCACCATATGATTGCACATCTACACTATTTTTATATTTACAACTGATCCGTAGACATTTTCAGTGCAAAACAAGCATACGAAGAAGAATTTATATGAAAGCGATGCAAAAGATTCCATTTAGGGTCTCGCTGGGAATACTTTCCAATAGTTTAATAAAATTATTAAGATAAAATACGAAAACTGTTTCACGAACTAAACAACGGAAATACGAAAGGACGTGAGGATAAATAAAATATAAAAAACTGATAAACACTACCTACGCAAACAGGACCAATGTAAGTTCTTTGAATCGCCATTCACAAAGTTTCCATCTTTCTGATGGATTTACTCAGAAATGTCACGGATTCTGCAGGTAAATACAATTAAATGCAAAAAATACCTAAACAGATCATATACTTTTTCGTACAACAATCAGATCTGTGTTTCTTTCGGAGCCGTCTTGCCGACATCTGTCTCAGAATCACCCGTTTCACCGACGTCAGACATGTTCTCAAATGCTTCATTTCCAATGCATTTTATTCCTTGCTTAAGCATTGGAGTGCCTTTTCCATGACCTACGAGAGTAACGTAGAAGAACATTTGGCAATGCTATAATCAAAACAAGGAACAACTGCATCGTCTGCTTTCAATTCAAAGATGATAACAAGCTATGTAATAAACAGAAGACACAAACTAGAAATCATAAATTAATATTAATTGTTCTTCCAAACTGGAGCATATGGCGCTACGGAATTGCGTCGTCATCGTAGAATCCTCAGGAAGTCACTTAACCGGACGTTCTTCTACGGATTTTTGGAACCTGGAGTCATTCAAAGAAATTCATTCACCATTTTTACTTGAATTAAAAAACTTTTTGCTGTAAAACTAACAGTGGTTTTGAGTGAAGTTTACCCTCAGGATGTTACGGAGTACAGTTATTTACAGGCAATATTCCTCTGTGAAACCATATCTATTTCTATCTTGTTCCGCAAACTTTCATCCTGGCTCTCTGGTCAACTTATGCAGTGCTACGAAAAACTTATGGGCTAGAGAAAATGATGTTACTTTAACCACTTTGTCTTATAAGGTCAACTTTAACCAACGTGCAGAAATGGCTACTATCCATAGGCACATTTATACATAAAAAACGATAACTAGCAACATGCCAGTAAACCCAGAAGATCAGGTTTTATTTTTCTGCATATATGCTTACGGATCGTGGCATACATGCAGGAGTCCGAACAGATTGTTATTCGGCCCTGCCGAGTGATGCGGTTTTGCATCTATGCACTGAAGGTGCTCAAATATCACAGAGCCATGGCCTGTATAAATGGCCCTCTAGGAAACCAGAAACATGGGGACGGTGCCATTACACCGCTTCAATCCAGTATCAAAAGAGAAAACGCTATTTAAGATACTGAATTTCCTATCGGAAACTGCTGACCAGGCAATAACGAATGTGTCACTGAAGATGAAGGGCGCAGTTCCAGATCAGGCTAAACATCTTGCAAAAATGGATGATATTTCTCTGATGAGCATAACGGAAAGTGAGCTGTGCTAATTGACTGACAAACTGTTTATGCAACATGGCGGTGAAAGAATGCTTTTTCCTTAACGCGCAGCAGTCAAACCCTATGAGGAATCAATCCGGCAAAACAAGTTCTGCAAGAAATGAAGCCCTTCACGAAGTTGATCAGTTCAAGAACCTGGACTCCATCATCTTTACGACACTCAGAGATATATAAGAAGATCGCCAGAGCCTCGACTGCTATAGAAAACCTGTGTAATATTTGGGCTGAGAAAGGAGTCACTTTTCCCACGAAAATCCGCATGTACCCTACCTCTATCAATGTTTGTTATTCAGTAGCATACACATCACTTCAGTAATGGCTGTTCATCGATCAGTTCACTGAAGCAGCTTGAAACTCAGGAGTCGGATGCAGTGGGAAGCTACAAATCAGAGCTGAACATGTGATGTTAAGAATGATGCAATCCAACAGAGCTTCCATTACAAAAGCGACGACCATCCATGGCAAGTGGAATCTGGCAAAATGACAGTAAATTGTTTTAGTTGCTGCTGTTACTCAAAGTTCTAAGTGTGCAAACTTCTGACGACGCGGTGAATATCTACCTAACAATGCCAACTTGAAGATCAGTGCAACTCAGTCGTGTTAAACCTACGCAAAATATGGCTAGTAACAAACAACCAACACCTTCGACCAAAGATACCGCACAAACCGTTTTTAAATATATGCCAGGGAAAATTTGATAAGCGAGACTTTCTTTGGTCTAACCATACTTAACAATGAGAGACAGTTGTTCAGCGTTAGAGAAAACCAGCAATATTTCAAAACAAAAAGCACCAGCGTACGTACCTAACACCTGAGCGGACAGAATAAGCTTGAAAGTCTTGTTTATACCATAAGAAAAGCTGATTTCTTCGTTCATTGACCCTTCTTTGTATGAATGAAGCTCAAGAACAAGATGGCAAGAAGAGTCTGCAAAATTTCAAAAGCAAGTTTTGCCCGCGTAGCGAAAGGAAAGTGAAAAAAATGCATACGGTCAAAGGGCGAAAATTTCTTTATGCGAAGCTTTGCCGCACGAAGCTCTGGAACTGTCGCGTCTTCAAGGTAGCGAGGAATGTTTAATGATATTTCATACAATTTGCCAACCTAAAGAAGAAACAATTGCTCAGATGTCATCGACATTACATTCACAATATATGCACATGTGGCATAATGACGGCTGTCACGCGATATATAAAATATATTATCTAAACATTAGTTTAAAAAATATACTCCGCACAATACAAGATATATAAGACAATTGTAGCAATGATTATAAACAGAATCTTGTTATCAGCACTTATCTCATCCAAAACTGGATTTCACGGCGTCATCCATGCAAGCTGGTTCCAAGATGTCTCGGACGCAATTGGATTGAACAGAGCTCTATAATATTTGCGGATATGCAGTGTCAGATGCATCTCACATCCATTTATTGCCTAGGACAATACTTTATTCTTTCCTATGATATGTCAAACACTAATGCTCTTAAGCTTTTTATAAATTATTTACGGCATAACAATATATGTGTCAGAGTATAGAATCAAGCAATAAGTATCTTTGTTACTCCATTATGTATAGCAGTATATTAAAAACAATTTCCCAACACTATATATTACGTCATAAAATGTTACACGCTATATAATGCATATACAAATGTAGAATGAGATAATACGTAGTAATAATATGAATATGTTATTGCAGTGAGAAAACCTTAAAAATCGAAGATTCTTCTTTAATGCGGCAGATTAAATCCACAGTGTTCATAGTTCTTATGGTCTGATCCGAATACAGATTTTGTTACATAAATTGCATAACGTTTCAGCTTGTTGTCAATATACAATAATAAAAACAGATGATAAAAGTCAAATAATTGAGGTCAAATTTTGGTCTATAACAGTTCGATCAACGATTATTATTCACTGCATTTATGAATGACCGACGTCCAGATATTGCTCAGCATCGTGCTATTGTCCCTATTCAAACATATGATGGCTTGGACGAAAAGAAATTAGCTGATGATTTTTGTGTAACAAGGATCATGTAGGATGCACACGAAGAATATGATATCAATCATAACAACACTGAAAAATGACTCTGCTGTTATTCAATGCTGTGTCATCAAGAAGCACGAAATTAACTGACAACAGACCAATGCAATTTGTGCCGAATGAAATTTTAATTCCAAAAAGGTCAAAGAAAATCTGTTCATCCAGGCCAACATAGGATTGACAATGGCAGGAACCTGAGCAACTTCTGGACGTCAACAGAAGAAACGCTGTCAAGGTTAATAATTCTTAGACAGCTCATTAAGATATCGAAACTGACCTTGACAATTTAACTTGTATCATATCTGTTTTAATCACTATTTTATCACTGTAACTTTGATGTTTCGAAACGTCGGAGATTTAAGTAATAAAATAATAATGTATGCATATGCATAGCAAACTTATAAGAAACCTCAAGAGGGTGGAAGTAATCCGCAAATTAGAAGGTTTATGCATTATATGACTTTATACTTTGTATAATATTTTATGCATGTTATATGGCAAATCAACTCTTCGAAATCAATCGAAGAATAACAATTTCTTGAAGCACTCTTGGAAGAAAGAAAACACCCCTGTCCAAGAAACTGCTAAACTGATCCTGTGCCTGAAGTAGAATGATTCGATAACTGCAATCTTCCAGTCTTAACGTATGGATGCAAAGCAAGAACCATAAACATGAAAGCTGTTCACAAAGTACATACTACGCAATGTAGCTTGATAAGGTATATATAAGGAATAACAAATAGAAACATAAAGACGAATGTATTGGCAAGAGCACAATCAGCAGTCTGCAATGCCATTCCAAAAGCAAACAATCTGAAACAGGTTGAAGAAAAAACTCATCATTTTTACACTAATAAACATCAAACGATGTTCCAAGAGACAAGAAACGGTCCAAGATGAGACCTCAAAATTGATGACCGTGTGAGTGAAGAAATCTGCTATAAAAAAGCGGATTAAAAAGCTCAAAAGAGAAAATTTTGTGGTAAAACCTTTATTCAGCAGTGGATCGAAAAAAAGCTTGATGGTTATATTGTATATAACATAACGGAATGTAATCCTGCGATACGTACAATATAGTAACTAAAGAACACAGATTACAGCATATAAACTACATATTCTATGTTCATGTGCGTTATACGGCTGTATAACATTGCACATTAGAATATTATAAGGACAGAATATCACACCATTACACAGTACATGAAATACAGTAGTCATAAAATATTAATTGAATGAATATGCATTACACCACTTTCTCTTAATTCCCGGATTTGCACTGCGCAGGCTCAATTGCTTTTAGTAGCCTAGGGGAATGTTTAAGCAGGCCAGGGCTACATAGCATTTTAGCACCTGCACTGTGTGAATGCAAACAGGTATCACTAAGCAAGGCTGAACGCAACCCGCTTAGACATCTCCCAAAACGTCACCATCCATGGGCATATATAGATAAAAATAAGTTCGGTATGAATGTTTTACTAGAAAATGTTTCGTTAAACTGCAAAGAGCAAAAAACTAATTGTAAATACATCTTGCATATCTAGTGCTTCTGTATCTTGCATATCATACTCACTGTTTGTAACTGAGAAGGGTTGGTAACATCAGCTGATACCCTGGTCCTGTACCAAAAATGTGCTGCGTGTAATTTCGAATAAATTGTTTTACTTATTAATCAACCAAGAGTGTCAAGCATCTATGCACATATCGCTATACAACCATATAATACATAGTTTTCTATTCTAAACCGATAATTCATTAGCTGAGTAGTTTCTTGATACATAGTTAAGGTCATGGAGAAATAAATGGTTTCGTTTGGGATACAGAAAGTTTAAAATATCCATGCTATCAAAATTTCATTCATATGGCTGACTATGCAACTCATGCTCTGTCTGTCCTCAGAGCAACATGGAACACGTTTGCCAAAAAAGAACTGAGAATGGCCCGAAACACCAGTTGCATAAATATAATCCTTATAATTAAAATACACGTTACCTGCAATAAAATAAATTTTATCAACATGCAAAATACATCACACATAATAACCTTAGAACAAAATATGACCTAATAATGGTACAGAACACTATTTAGAATAATGCAGTATAAACAACAGAATAATACATTACATAGACATTATTTAACCCATAATGGATGATTCGAGCTATATTTGGCTCGATGTGATTAGAAATTCTAGTACAATATAAGAAGACATTTTGTAAAAGCATGAAGACCATCTACCATCTACTTTTCCTCCATAAGAACGTTGATCATTTTTCAAGTTTATGGCACATAATAAAAATAATATACATAATAGGTTGGATGATTGGAAGTTCCATCTGCAATCACTACCTGTATACACCGAAACGAAGAAAAATGTCAAATTAATTAACTAAATTATATTACATACCAAACGATAGAAAACAATGTCGTTCAATTGTAAACAGGTCTGTCTCAACTAATCGTTTGATGACGAGTTTTCAAACCATCGTCTACCGAACTACGGTATTTTAAAAAACGGTTGGCTGTTCCTAATAAATAGGTAAGAAAGGCGGCAGAAGTAGAAACATACTTTCTTCTATACCGTTACCATATTTCAAAATACAATTACTTGAATGAACCCGAGATGAGCATCCGCCTGATCCAACCCCGGAGACAGCCGCATTTTTATTTCGCCCGTGTGTTCTGGCGTCACTTCAGAGTCATAAAAGTGAACGTGTCCAGTGGACGCCGACCTAAAATAGTACTGTTTCGTGAGAAGGAAAAAAAATTATAAATCATATAAACAAGTCAGCATTTCTGTTTTCAGTCAATTCAGGCCGGGTAGAGATCAGCAAGTTGGAAAAATACTTTATCCAGTTTTGATCAAGAAATGATTAGATAAAATATTAACTGGTAGCCAATGCCGATATGGGGTGAATGACTGCGTATGGATTCTAAATTACTAGCCGTGTAGTTTCACGCAATCGACTTTTAGCTGTACAGTGACCCTTTTATTTTCTGGCACATTTTCATTTTGCAGCAACTTGTAAAACGGGTCTGCTGGGCTAAAGGTTCCTTACGTCAGCGGTTCGACAACTGACAGTTTGTAATATAACGATGTCAAGG